AGTTTTATCCACTGCCAGTTCAGATATAATCATGATGCAGCAGGGTGGTGTGATGTAATCACAGAAAGGTCTGAATATCAGCGATACAGACTTTCTTTCCTATACAGTGTCCGACAGGTGCAAATGAGCCGCAAACAGCTAAACGCGCTGCAAACACATGAATGATGAAAACTCACAAAAAACAAATGCGACAAAAAAAAGCTACAAAACAAGAATTCTGCGATCACAGAAAATAGAAGGAGAAACGTACAAACAGCTAAACAAATGCAAAGGTAAAATGCTGCAAATACCAAACGCACTAAAAATCCCCAAAACAACTGCAAGTAAAGAAACGCTGCAAATTCACTCTGCAAAATGGAAGTGGACCAGACTAGTATGGGGACTTGACCACCAAATCATATGGAACCAGTGGTGTAGTCTACATTTGTGTAGTGGGTTTACTGTGCTTAGAAACCAAAGTACACCGGTTAGTACAAGGTAATCATTAATTTATTTTGATTTTTAAGAGTATTGAACATTTTGAAATTTCTCTGATGCTTTTATTTGAATAAATGTACAACAAACTTTGTACAACAGTTGACTTTGTATTAAAACATGTTATAGAATTTAGAAAACAGTATCAAAGCAAAACATGTTCAAGTATTAAATAGTTTAGTACAGAAGTATTAATTATACACAAAACGGGTTGAACCAACTCAATGTGTCTACAAATTGTTACAAATGTGTTGACAATGATACGAGTCCATGTCATGTATCACTGGCAATGATGCATGACATGGACTCGTATCATTGGGCACTTTTAAGTGAGTATACTGAAATTCCCAAGCTTTTTTAGTGGATATACTCTGAACACCCGCGTATCACATAGACTACACCACTGTATGGAACCAGATCCATGTAAATACATTATACCTGAGCAGCCACTTTCTAAAGTCATAATACTTTCATATTATACAAAGATATACACATTCCCTCAATAAAGAGACTTTTTGGCATTGTAAGAAAACAAAACATATCTATTAAATGTAAAGTAAGGCAGAAAATTTAGCATTGGCAAGACAGTGGCTTTAAATCATGTACAGTAATTTGCTATTTCATAGACAAACAAGATAAACATGAAAACTGTTTGATGCGTGTTAACTTTTTGCTGTGCATTTAGTTCTTTGTTGTGCATTTAGTTATTTGCTGTGCATTTAACTGTTTGCTGTACGTTT